CGTTACGCTTTTTTCGGTTATTTGCCAGAGCTAAGACATGAAAATGTCAAAAAACGATTCACGGTATATTGAATCATATAATATAATACAACACTTAAGTATTGACATTTTCATGTCTTAGCTCTGGCACATAATCCTGGCACATATCCGAAAAAAGCGTTATCACATAGAGATGGGGTTGGGAGTAGAAATAGGAAGGGGGTGGGAATGGGGTTGGGGTTGGGGGTGGGAATTAGCTGTAGTGCATAACAGAAAAATATCAGCCATTTTTCAGCTGAGTCTGCAACCATGATAGAACATTTTCATGTCTTGTTAAAGTACCGAATAAATTTAGATTAGTTGTGGAATTATAATTTTAAAAAAAAAATTACATGGAGCTTCCAGTTACAGCATAAGGCCAAGAAGATTAAACAATTATGTACAATCAAGTTTCTGGCTAAAATTGTAGTATAATATAATATAATATTATACAACACTTCAGTATTTTTACACTGCACAGTCCGCATGTATATCACATCAGAAGTTGCAAATGATTCCTCTGATGATGGCATGCGATTACGGCGTAAGATTCACTTGGTTTCTAACGTTGGTGGATTGCGGTAATGTCGAGTGTACTCTTTTGAGGCTAAACGACGACGGCTACACTAGCGAGTGTTGGAACATACTTTAAGACAGCCTCCAGGAAAGTTAGGTATGTCGCGTTAAAGGTGATGCGTGCATTGGAATACATGCATTCCACTGTAGGTGACGATATAGGTTTGGACGAATTTCACGGGAACGTGGCGAAGATCCGAAATTTTCTTACCCAACGCAGCGTAGTGGAATGTTCAGCCGCGATACAAGACGGCCTTAGTTACTACGACGAATTATCAAAGGTTCTCATGCAGGACTATGTTATCTCCAAGTGTCAACCGGAGTACCAAACATTAGATACAGACGCATTGAAAAGATACAGCGACACAAAAAAATTGTACGAGTTTTTTGTAAACAAAATGAATGAACACGTTGGACACGTGACCGGTAATTTGAGCAACATGGGTTTTTATTATGACGCGTTTACACATTAAAATGGGTAATTTTTAATGTATTATTTTTCTTTATGTAAAAATAAATAATAACGAGATAATATATATTTATAATGGAACTCATTCAAACATGCCATTTTAAATATGGTATAACTTAGATAAGTTATTTAATAAAACATAAATTGTATTTTTGGACTAAATGTTTTCAGAGATTTAATAAAATATATTATAAAAGTCAAAGTCGTATTATTATGTAAACTGTGTTTTAATTGTCGTGAAATAAAAGGAGATAAAGGGCTTCGTATCATCATTGTTATTGATGAACAACATTGTTTTTAATAACAAACAGTTTTCACATGTAAAACCTAGGGTATTTTTTTTTTTTAATAAAAATTGTAATCGTTTTAATGCGTAGCTGAGATGGTATTGTATTTACAATAATGTGCTTTTATTATAAATATTTTTTTTTTTTGAAAAACACCAAAAATGAACATATAATTTAATTTAAAATACGGCGTTCCAAAATTTTCCAAAATAGTCAAATTAATTCCGAATTAGCATGGAATATTTTTTTTCTCTTTTTGTTACTTACCACGTATGGGTAACTATGGCAATACATTTTTATACACAGACGATCAACTCTTACCGTATCCACCCAAGTAATTATTTTAAAGCACATAACTTTCATTAGATTTACAATGTTTTGATCTGTGAATACTAGACCTCCCTTACTAACTCACTTACTACTACTACTACTACTACTACTCATTACACAAAATATTTCTTACAAATTTGTAAGGAATTGGGCTGTTTTTAAACAATGTTTTAGCGTGCCATTTAAATTAAATTTTAAGTTTAAAAATATGTAATTGTTTATAGGTGTTTATAGGTGATTCAGGTTATTTTTTGTAAGTTTAATATTCCTATATGCGACATTTCATTTTTAAAAGGTTTGTAACGATTTTTACAATAACATTAAAAGCGAAAATTTAAAATGTATTTCGATCGATGTACGTCAGAGAACGCGTTACAAAGTACGGTTAAAATTACAACAAGTTGTTTAAGATAAAAAATCGACAGGCTTAGAGGCGCATAAAGATTTTTAGGTAAATAAAAATTGGTGTTTACAACAGTTTGTGAGATTTTAAAAAATTGTGTTTTTTTAATAATAGTATAGGAGCAGTATTATATTGTTAAATGTTCACGAGATTTGATCTAGTCATAACATAAAGTATTATTATTCATGACTTAATTATTATTAAAATATATCTTAATTTGAACATAGTAATAAAATAATGAAACATTTTATACAAAATTAGAACTACAAGTTCATAAACTGAAAAATTAAAATTAGCACGAAGCAGATTAATATAAGATAATTTAAACAATCAAGCGTGAATCTCTTTAAATGAATAACAGTATAACAATATGCAAAACATTAGTGTTCATTTAAAAAAATGTGTAATATAAAATACATTTTGGGGCGGTATACTGCATATAAACCAACACTTAATCTGAATCCAAAAAACAATAGTCCTCTTCATAATTTGCTATTCGAAGGAATTGGTCCAGTATTAAAAAAGTTACAGTGTATACAGATAATAAAAAAACACACATCAGAGTAAAACCAATACCTTCTCGCTTTGCATCGAAGCTAAAACATTTTTCTGGATTTTTGTGTAAAAGACATCAAAGGTGGTCAAATTATATGTTTTTGGGGTCGGCGATTACGAATTTAATATCAGTTCTCAATTTTAATCAGCCAGAAAAGGCTTAAGTTAAAAAAAAAAAAAATTGAAATCGTGTAAACTTTAAGTCAAAGTGTAACTTGAGCACAAAACTTAATAGTATTCTGCATAGATCTACGTAAAATTGTTTTAATGATTTGATAAATTTTTTTTTTGATTTTAAGTGTTTTTTGTTAAAATATACGTAATCTGCGAAAACACAGTTTTCCGGCAATTAAAAAAAACCTGTAGTGCCGAATTTGTTTTCCGTTCAATATATTATGAATGTATGAGTTCTAACTACTGAAAAATTTTCAACTTAAAGGTCTTAAAATTACGACTAAAAAACTAAAAAAACAATAAATCGAACCCCCCCCTAGGCGAAATGGGTTTAATTTAAATTTGACACAACTGACGTGCGCGGACATACCAAATAAATATTTCTTATAAATATCAACTCGATCCGACTCTTTTTCTCAAAACTTTAGCCAGTAAAAGTTAAAAACTCGTACGGTTTTTTTTGTTTTTTCAAATTTCGTCTGTGAAGAAGTGAACTTTTTCAACTTTTACCCCCCTCAAGTACCAACTAGATGAAATTTGCGATTTATAGAGTTGCTATTCGAAGGAATTAGTCCAGTATTAAAAAAGTCACAGTGTATACAGATAAAAAAAACACACATCAGAGTAAAACCAATCTAGAGTCACATCTCTATCTTTTCAGGTAAGTATGTAGAGTTATAGCCCATTCCTGACTTTGTTGTACAGGTGTATTTTTGGCTGTATCCATACGGTTTTTAAGGGAAATCAAAATATTTATTGGAATATTAGTTGTATTTACTAGTTTACTTTTCACAATAATAGTAATGTCTCACCAAAAGTATCTAGTAAGCAAGTGGGGACCATTTTCATACTATAATATTTATAAGCTATTGAACTATGTTTGGATATGAAATGCTCTAGGGTATGATTTTTAGAATATCAATATTGTAATTCGCCCATTGAACTACGTATAAAAAAAATTTAAATGCAAAGTCCAAAAGTACAATATGACGTTTAATATCTCATGTATGACAAAATAATAAAATGTTGAATTAATTTATTTTATTCATTTTTTTCTTAAAGTCTTTTACAAAGTTTTCGACGATACCTTTTATTTGATTTAGAAGTCTCTCTTTTTCATCGTCTATGAATTCCTTATTATTTTCCCATAAACAACGCACTATGTTTCCGGGTATAATCCTTGCCTGAAAACTCCTTAATCCGAGAACCATTTTTTGTGTTGCAATTATTAACTCTTCTCTTGCTGCTTGATCTTCTTTCTCTTTTTTTATTTTAAGTGCTGCTTGTACAACGTATTCAAAATATGGTAGATGTAAATTGTTTGTGTCATCTGTGCACAAATATGAAAAAACATTTTAAAAACAGTTATAATAATGTATAATTTATAAGTAAACTGTGCCATGAAATAAAACTCGCTAGGATCAGGGCCATATTTTAGATTTTAGTGTATTATTATTTAAACATGAATGAAAAGTACATTAAATATTCGTTCTTATTTACTTATTTCGCTAAGTTCAGTCTCGTAATTATATTAAATATAAATAAGTCAGGAAAACCCCCCGATTTTCATTAATCTACGTAGAATTTTATACAGTAATTTCAAACCGGCTTGGCCTGTTCATCAACCAATTTACAGTCAACCACAAGTAGTGGGTTATATAGATATAAAAATCCCACAAAAAAAAAATCATTAATATTATTCTGTAGAATGTATAATAAAATACCAAAAAATCATTTTGAAAGTATTAAGTTTTTCTTGATTACAAAATAGTTTGATCGGATGTTTTTAAGTATATCATTCTAAATTTAAATTTCTATGTATGTGTTTTAAATCTACTTTCTGCCATATTTTTAGACCATGTTTACAGCAAATATTTTCAAAATGTATATTTTTTAACGATTAAGTTTTTCTAAATTCCACTGAGAATTAAATAAATATAGGTTTCCTAAATCCGCACTCAAAAAAAAGAAAAAAAGACACAGTGGTATCTACAGAATGGAAATCGGATCAATTTAATTAACCTACTCTTCCTTGCGTATCATACAAAAATAAACCAAAATAATGATTTAGATACTTACAACGACTAGTAATCCTATTGAAGAAAAAGCATCTGATTAAATAAGGCTTAAGAAGCCTGCGTTTAAGATTATCTAGAGGATGACCATTATCGTCCGAGACTTCGTACACCTTTTCTTCATCCAAGGGCTCCGCCACCTCGGACTGGTTCACCCGCTTCAGCTCTGAGGATTTTTCATCCGAGACAGACCCAGCATCTAATAAAATCTGAAAGACATACATACTATAATTACTTCTATTAGTATTATTATAGAGTTCTCAACGACTGTCCTCAAATACCAATACTATTATAGTATAACAGTTTTGTAGCTTCTGTGAAAGGTCAAATAAATTCTAGAGGTTCTGGGAATTAGTGAATGCCTAGTATATTAGGATACCTAAATAGTTTCCATGATATCATACCAGTCGTTTTAAGTTAAATTATTATTATAGACAAAAAGTAAAATATTAATATTATTTCAAAATTTTGAAGATAACATGTGTGTTGCTATGAAAACAAAGGAGTACAAATCTGTGGATTGAGGCAAGAAGGGCCAATGTCACTTTTTGCAACTTTAAAAAAATGAGCTTTGAAGTTTTCATTTTCCATTAGGCTCTATGTTATTTTTTTTAGCAAACTCTTCATGAGTAATTCATTTTTTGGCCTAAGAGTGTGATTTTTTCACAGTATATAAAGAATGATTCAATTTTTGCCATTTGCCATCACCTTTTCTTCATCCAAGGGCTCTGCCTCCTCTGACTGCTTCACCCGCTTCAGCTCTGAGGATTTTTCATCCGAGGCATTCCCAGCATCTAATAAAATCTGAAAGACATACGTCCATATATCTAGTTCTATTAGTGTTATTATAGAGTTCTCAACGACTGTCCTCAAATATTAATAGTATTATAGTATAACAGTTTTGTAGCTTCTGTGAAAGGTCAAATAAATTTTAGAGGTTCTGGGAATTAGTGAATGCCTAGTATATTAAGATACCTAAATAGTTTCCATGATATCATACCAGTCGTTTTAAGTTAAATTATTATTATAGACAAAAAGTAAAATATTAATATTATTTCAAAATTTTGAAGATAACATGTGTGTTGCTATGAAAAAAAGAAGTACAAATCTGTAGATTGGAGCAAGAAGGGCCAATGTCACTTTTTGGAACTTTCGGAAAATGAGCTTTGAAGTTTTTATTTTCCATTAGGCTCTATGTTAAATTTTTTATCAAAACTCTTCATGAGTAATTCATTTTTTGGCCCCAGAGTGTGATTTTTTCACAGTATTTAAAGAATGTTTCAATTTTTGCAATTAGCGGTCTAATTTTTTTATGCACAAAATTGACATTGGCCCTTTTTGCTCCAACCCACAGAAATAGTTTTATAAATTTTTGAATAATATTCATAATTTTTATTTTTTAAATAGAATGTTGCACTTACGATGAGGCCAAAGGAATAAATTGCAAATAACATGACACAACGAAGACGCATGTTTGAGTTCATTACCAAAAAAATACCTATAACAAAAAAAAAACAATAATAGGGTCTAATGTGTGTGCGAGTGGATTATTGAAATGCCTCAAACTTACATATCCTATGCTAACAATTCCATAAAACAAAAAAATTGAAGAAAAAATTTTTTAAAAAATTTTTGGGACTTAGGCGATGATATATTCCTGAAATTTGTTGTGAAATCACCTTAAGTTTACGATCACGTTACTTAATGTCTAATTATGATATCGTAATGGAACTTTCACTGAAATTATTTAATTTAAGTGTTCTTTTTCATAATATACTTGAACAATTTTTTTTCAAATATTTAAGTACTTAAAAACTGAAAAACAAATTCAAAATTTTATTCAATTTTTTAAGGTCAAAATTTCAAAACCTTTTTTTTTATTCTGATACATCATACTATACTTATTTGATTCATAACTTTTTTTAACAATTTTGACATTTTTTTATGTATAGGTAACCTTTTAGTTTGACATTTTAATAAATAGTGATATTTTTAGAGCATATAACTGTTTACCACATGAACCTAAAATTCTTAAATTTGTACAGCACTTATTAATATGTATGTAAAACATTTGCTACTTTTTTATAAAACACTTTTGCAATATACTTACTTAGTATAATTACTTTTCACTTATAGGTAAAATGTCAAACTAGTGGTTACCTACACATAAAAAATTGTTAAAAAAAGTTATAAATCAAACAAGTATAGTATGATGTATCAGAATAAAAAAAAAAGTTTTGAAATTTTGACCTTAAAAAATTGAATAAAATTTTGAATTTGTTTTTCAGTTTTGAAGTACTTAAATTTTTTAAAAAAAAATGTTCAAGTATATTATGAAAAAGAACACTTAAAAAACAAAATAGCAAATTAATTTATGAATTAATCAAATATTTATTGATTAATATCATGACTTATATTATTTACTCAGCAAAAAAAAATCCATATTAATTATCGATATTAGTTTCCAGTTTTGTACAAAATAATGTGCTGTGATATATACGTTTCCGATAAACTGAGCAGTATTAATGCATAGAATCTTTTCGATAAAAATACATGGTACCAATTTATGAGATATTGAATTTTAAGTTCTTTTTTATAATATAATAAAAGTTGTTATCCGTGATCGGTTGCCGTGATATCAGTTTTTATATTAGACAACGTCCGATCGTTTGCTCGCGGTATACCCATCAGCCACGGGCCAAACATCTTTTATTTATTACTAGTTAATTAAATATTTGTTATTTAGCAAAATGTATTTATTTGTTCTACAGTAAATTTAAATTATTATCGAAAAATACAAGAAATAAAAATATTTTAATCAAACAGTTCTTGTATATGACGCTACCTAATTCCGAAACTTAAATAGTAAATTGCAGAACATTTTTTTTTAACTAGTCGGTAACCTCTCTGCAATAATTACTTTTAAAATTAAAAAAGTTTTGAAATCAGGACGGGAGGGCAAGTTCGGTTGAATATTGCGGGCAGATAAAAATAACACAACACTGCACCATTACTTCGACCTAAGACTTTAATAATTCAAAGTTAATTATTCAGAGCTAATCGATCAATAAAATAATACAATAAAAAATAAACTTAGTTTAAAACGCTAATTAAATTACGTGCAGTTAATTTTCAAATGACGATTGCACTCTAAAACATACCAAAAAAAAAAATTTTAAATGTTACTTACTTTGTAGTTGTTTGATAAACCTTATAGGTTAAGTTATGTGTGAGAAACTCAAAAAATCACTAGTACAGTTTATGATCGGTTTGACTTTATGTACTAAGTTTTGTGACTCTTCTCCACTAGCCGCATTTACTTAAATTGCAAGTTACACTCCTTTTGCAATATATTGTGTTTACATAGGATAACCAATCGGACACTATTGTAGATGGTATAGACGGCTCTTCGCTACCCCCACTTTGTCTGGTTAGTCCAATTAAAACGCTTGCTCAGTCGGCGTCAGACAGAAGATTTTTTTTTTTTTTAATATTACGAGAATTATTAAAAATATACATTATTTTTATTAAGAGGACGCTACCCAAGCCATTTCTAAGGAGTAAAGTATAGGCAATTTTTTCGAATAATCTTAAATTAAAATTTGAACTATATTATATACTTATTAATACAGTAATGAGGATACTTTATTCATTGCCATTTTTTTCGTCAGACTATCACAATCACTTATATAGGATAAATTACTATTTTTCCCCATCAAAACTGCTTTGCGCGGGACAAGAATGTGATAGCAGTATTAACAGTAGATTTACCAAATTTTCACAATGTATAGAGAAGAACTTTATCTACGGGGTAGCAATTTTATTTGTTTGATATCTATACTTAATATTTTTTTATAAGCAAATGAATATTGAAAAAAAAAATAGAATCTTCACGAAGAAATAATTTTAATTGTGATTAAGTTATCAAAAAACTAAAATCGCTACCCCGTAAATAAAGTTCTTCTCTATCCATTGTAAAAATTGTATACGGCTACTGTAAATACCGCCTTCACATTCTTGTCCCCCGCAAAGCCATTTTTTGCGGATAAATTACGGGTGGGTAGCGTCCTCTTAAGCAATTAATTCAAAAAGTATTTGATTTACAAATTTAAAGCTCTGTAGTAAATGAACTTTTTTAGATCAATTTTATTATTTTCATAGACGAGTTTTCATTTAAATCTTTTTTTTATTAAAAAAATTATTTGTTTATTTTTTATTTAATAGAAATTTATTAAAATTATGATAAATTACTCAGCTTTTTTTTAGTCCGTTTCTCTCGATTAAATTTAAATATTCCTTACAGAACACAATGTGGTCCACGATGAACGGCGCACCGCCACATCACAGAAATGCCGTCGGAGAATTATTGTATCACATATTTCTTGAATAAATAATAACAAGACAGACAGGTTTTCAGGCCAGATATTGTGTTACCACCGAGGAGCACCGACTTGACGTCATTTACTTTTTTTTGGGGGGTTACTACTTATTTAAAGGAAAAAGTTTACGTTAATTAAGTGATAACAAGAGACGATTTCATAGACCGCATAAATGCAACTATACTAAGTTAAAGTCAACTTTGTATCTATTTTTTTTATCTTTAAAACCATTTTGAATGGTAACGTTTATTGTTTATGCCTGCCTAAACAGGTTAAGATGAAAAAAAAATATTTTAAATTGCTATCAAGGATTCTGTAATATTAAATATTAAAAAAAATACGATAGAGAAATTTTTGAAACGATTTACTGTAACAACATTTTATAAGTTACATAAAAAAAAATGTAGGTAACAAATTTTACAATTTGACCATTGCATATATTATATCACCAAAGACGTATAATTTTTTATGCTTGCATTGTGAGCCGTCGCAGCTGTGTTGCAAAAAAAAAACATCGCCAAAAGTATAGTTACTAAACGTCATCAATTGTTCGACTGTGTTTATAAAAATTTTTACTTATTTTCACAATTATTGTGAAAAGAATAAAAATATTCATTTTTCTTAGAAATCGCCCTAAATATTCGGCAAAATAGTCTTCATTAGATAACACCTTGAACAAAAGTCCGTCGCTGGACATGACGTACAAAATTCGGGGCAGAGGAAAAATGGCACCTATTAAACTGCAGTAGACGTCCGAACAATTTAAATTTTCTCATATGCTGTAAACACTAAATCATTATTATTAATTATAATGATTAATTATTATTATAATCAAAACTATATTTTGGTTAAACGAATTTATGTGGTTGTGAGTGCGGATATGGCGCCCACGGCGACTATGTATTCGATTAACGGTATTCCTAAGTGTTCGTCAATAACTGGCAGCGTTGCGATAGGGTCCTAACAGAATGACGTAAAAAACATCTATACATATAATATTTTTAATTTCAATCAAAGCGTTCTTTGTTCGACATCGAGGTAATACATGCAAGGGAAATAACTTTTGAAAACGGAATGGTCCGTTTAGAATTTTTCGTTTCATCGCCTTCAAAAAAATCAACGTTTTCGTATCACACACACACCCACGATAGAGGCCAGTGGCATAATTATGGTAAAATTGGTTAGAAGGTAAAAAATTCATACGGACGAGTTTCAGACATTTTATCCATGTCACTAGTTTTAAGCCGACGTTTCAGACTATTTCGGGAAAATTACACTTTTACCGTAGTCAATTTCCAGGGTAGGATGGGAGGTGGAGTGCGGTAGAGAAAAGAGCGTAGTGCTATTTTTACACGCATACTCTACCGCACTCCACCTCCCATCCTATTCTTTAACTTTTAGTAACTTAAAAAGTAATTGTCCATATCTGGTTATCGAGCAGTTGAAATTTTCAGCAAATTATTCTTAACAAAATGGCTATCTTGAATATTTAAATAGAAAGATAATAAAAAAATAAAAAAATAATTTTAAAAAGTAAAATAGTTAAGTGCAATAAAGTACATGGTGCTCATAGCGCAAATGAGTATAAATTATTAAAAAAAAAAAACTTTAAAAATATTCATTAGAACAAAATTTTTTTCATTTATCAAATCTTCCTGGGCCACCATAAATTAACCATTTACTTCTTTAGTCACTCTTACATTATAGATTCCAATATAGAAGAGTTGTTTTATCTAACGACTAAAAATTGTTTAATTAAAGTATTCAATGTCAACTAGTTTTACCAGAGATAACAAAAAGTGAATACATTTAAAACAAAAATATAATAAATGTAAAACAAATCATACCCACCCTAAAACTAAAAATTTATAAAGCACATAATTGCCATTAGATACAATGCTCTTATCGATATTTGTTTTTTTATCTGTGATCACTAGATTGCTCTAAAAGGCCCAAATTTGGGTTTCCAAACCATTATATGTAAGGTTTTATTTTATGCTCTGAATTTTCGTTGTATGTTAGAAATGCGTAAACAACACACGGTTAGTAATATTTTTTTGCGTTTTATTTACCTTAAATTCGTATCGATATTTTTACATTCAAAATTTAAAACCTTTATCATTACTTTTCTAAATAATTGTATATTCATTTTCTTAAACGGGAAAACACGTCAATGAAACACGCATTAAAACAGGTTTTAAAACACGTTTTAAGTGGTATTATTTATTTAAAATAAGAAGAGTACTTGTTTTAATTTATTGTTTTGTATGCTTGTTCAAACAGTTACAGTTATACACCAATGTCCAAAATAAGAAAATATTTAAAAACAACATCTTTTATCATCGAACTAGTTAAATTTTTTGAAGTCTCCAACGTTAAAACGATTTTGATAATTTTTATACATTTTTTTTGTATGTTATAAATGCGTAAACAACAAACAGGTTAGTAATATTATTCTTTGCGTTTTATTTACTTTAAATTCGTATCGGTATGAAAAAACATGAGTCATATCTCATACACCGCATTTAGGTTTCAGATAGGTCTAAGGAGGATCGGTTGATAATTGATAAATGAGGCTTTTAAACGCTTCTATCTTTAATCCGAGTCAGGGATTTCTACAGCTAAAACATATTGTACGTTAATTTTATTATCTAGCCTAACGTCCATAAGAAATACATTACTGTCGTAAACTTTATAGCGATGCGTTTGATATTTTTATCATATTTAAATTTTAGGTCTCCAGCGGTAATGAATGTCTATAGAGCGACCGAATTCAGAATAATAAAATGCAGTGTTAAACTCCTACCATAGTGGAAAATATTGTGCTACCATAGTCGAGTTAAGAGTTAAACATAGAAAACACAGTAAAACAAGCTGAGCAAAAGTCTGTTGTGATGCGATGATGATTGTTATTTTTGTGGTATACCGTAGAGGGTTTATTTTAATATTGCATTATTTTATTTCTTTACTATAATATAAAACCCCAAGTATTGTTTAATTTTTTACTAGGTAGAAAACACAATTTAAAAAAGAAATTCATTGGAAACCAATCGGCGATTTCTTATTTTCGATTTTTATCTACTTAATTAACTGCATTCACATTAATATTATTTTGAAATTAAACTAATCTCAGTATTTTAGTATTTTACACGTGTGTACGTACGAATTCCATTAGAGAAATTTTACATGTTTTTCTGTGGCACCCATCACTGTCGTTTCGAATCCCAACTTTTTTTTTAATGCCAGCGTTACCAATTCATGAGTGATTTGCCATCCGGCACCAACATCCGCTGTAAAATAATTGAATTCATCATAATATAATATTATTAGCGTTTCGAACGACACACAAAAATACACTACAGAAAGGTTTCTGATATTTAACCGTGTTCTGTTGACGTTGTGTAGTTGTAAATTATATATAATATTATCATAATCGTTTGTCTAGTGATGTTGCTCCGGTGCCCTATAGCTGTTTAATATTAATAGTATTGTGTTTAAACTAATGCATAACATAATACCGTTGCAATTAGCCGTGATCTGCAGAAGAATGACTACGGTAATGAACATCATAATACTTGGAATGACGTGTAGCAGTGTTCTAAGTATGCCTAAGTACTATTGACGTCTGCCAGCAATTGCCCCATATAAGTTCACTTCTCTAAATTATTCAGTCACGCCGTTATTGTTATCCAATACAGGTGCCGAATACGCGCGTTTGGAAACAAATGGCGAACAGCAATAGGTAAAATATTATAATTATTGTTATCTACTGTCTACTGATCTGGGTTACATGGGAAATTCGTATGTGCAATTAAATACTGAACGACAAAAATGCGCATTTGCCAGTGTCTGGTAACGTGCGATTATAGCAATTATCTACAAATCTATTTTAATACAACTATAATGAAAAACTAGAGTTGGGTACATATTACACACACGTCAAAATCATAAATAAATCTAGAAAAACAATAAAAACAATTACATAATATATCATCACTTTAAGTTAAATATTGTTATGTTCATTGTATTGGTTTGTCCAAAAAGTAGTAGCTTATGAATGTAATTAATAAGCTTGGCATTTGATGCAAAGTGCCAACGTAAATTTGTAAAAAGCTTAATTCGAAATAGCTTAATAAATTGTTGGTACATATTTATTAAGTATCTTTCAGGTGCTGATCTGTAGATTAACGACATGAGGAAATGTTTCAGAGGTTCACAAAATATCATGGTTCGAAAAAACACACATAATTGTAAAAACAAGCTTCAGCTACGCATATTGAAACTAATATCACAAATTGTTATATTTATACAACCTTCAATTCAACTTTAAACTGTAAAAATAATTAGTACCTAAAACATAAATTATATTAAATTCTTATTTCTAAGCTCTCGGCTTCGAGCTGAATAATAAATATTTATTTGAATACGCTTTGTTATTAAAAGTAAATAAAATATATTTCATCAACAATTTTACATAACATTATAGGAAAGTGAAACTATCTCAATAGGTAACCGTAATATTATGGAAGTACTTAAATAGTATTAATAACTATAACATACCTACTAACACACATTATAATATTATTGTTAGATAGTCCCGTTCAATAAAAATAACTTAGGATTAATAACAAATTTGCCATTGGCAATTATAATTGGATTAAATATATATTATGTATCTTAAAAGTTAAACGTTCTTTCGTGCTGATTGAATTATTGTTGTGTCAGCATTCTCGTTTATCCCATATGGAGGAGAGCTAGCGGTCTTCAAATAGAAATCACCACTCACACTAGAAACAAACAACAGACATTTAAATGCTCAATAATGAACAAACGTTCAAAAAAATATTAACACAAATACGGTATGTTGTGTTTAGTTAATATTAAAATATAAATGTATACATGGGTATATTTAATTCATTTACTTGTTAAAAATTTTAAAAATCAAAATTTTTCAGTATTAAGTTATATGAGGATCAATTTAGGATTTTTCGTTACTAAAAGCCAAAGAGTTCTTTTTTAAAATTAATTTATTCTGTATAAATGTACCAAATGCAAGAGTGTACGTGTTTATATGGGCAGGCTTCAAGAGTAAGTTTAAAATAGGCTTGAACCTATTGAAGCCATATTTTTCCATCGTTTAACATATTATTATTATTCAGTTTAAAAATATTGGTAATCCAATACAACAGCTTACCTCGGTGACGCGTCGTGTCCCATGTACGTTTTCGGATTGTTTTTGCATTGGCCGCTTTTGTAACTGGACCACGATGAACACTTTGTGGCCAACATAGACCGCATGTGATATACAGAGTCGGTATACAATTTGTGTGCTCTAGCGTGACTACATCCCACTGGAATAGACAATAAACAAGTAAGTATACGAGCGATGACCCGGATGAACTGGCACGCCGAACCCCTATACCCGAGTTGAACAAGGGTGGGTTATAAGGAAAGGTAATATTGTAAGGAAACCAATGCTTTGGTACGCTTGAAAATAACTGGAAAAAACCTTAGGGGTACGGATGCGGCGCTACAACTCCCAAGTACACGTAGTGTGTACAATGATGATTTACCGATGCCCATAAGTTCAGACGGATACAATCCGTCGTAACAACCCGGCTGAGGAGGACATCCTTCGTTTGGGAAGAAGTCCACGTGCCCTAAGGATGAGTAATACCCCGCCGCTCCTGCTGCCGTGTGAATAACATCCACGAAAAGGGCGTCGGTTTTGTCCAACCGATTGGTTTGTACGTTGACGTATTCGAAACCGGGCCCCGCGGGATCTAAACCTGAAAAGTCATATTGTTATACAACCGATGCAAGACTATCGATCACCGTTGTTTAGATCTAAACACACACACACACACACACCTGTTATTCGGCCGATTTTGCCCAAAGTGAAGGCAGCGCCGCAAGCTCCAGAAACGTGGGCGCCTAGACTGTGGCCAATCAAGTGGATGTCGCCCGGATCGAGAGCGGCCAAACGGACCAGGTTCTCCAGCATTCTAGCCATGACAGAGCCCACCCTCCGCGTCATCAGAGCCGGTATTGGATAAATGTAATTGTCGCCAATTGCGCTCCAGTCCATAGATATAACGTTAAACTCGGTAGCACTCACGTACGCTAGAACGACAGTGGCTAATGAACGTAAAAGATTATATTATATACAAGCAACTAGTAAATATAATATAAAGCTCTCTACAGCTCACACGAGCATTGTTAAAGTTTAAAATGTTATACTTTTGTCAGCCATATTTTGCTGTTTTTACAAATAGTATAAATTGATTGTCAGTTATTGCTATTTGATAAAAAGTGAATAATATATATATTATGGTCGGACTTTGATGGTTTTACCCGTTTTAACCGTAAATACTCCAGTACTGTTTTCGCTCGTTGCAAGCCAACCGTGTGTCACGACTTTCAGACCTTGTCCCGGTATCCAATAGTTGAGCAAATCCTTTTCTTGGTCTATTGTAAATACGATGGGATGTTCGTTTCCAAGTAGGCTATTCAAATTAAAAGTGTTATACAAGCCTATTAATGAGATCCGCCTGTATAGTCTTATATTTTGAGGGCAAGTCATATTATTATTACGATCAATGCCCCCCCCCCCATAATGCTTCTAAGTATCATAAAAAGTCTAATTTGCACATGAAAATAAAAAAAAATATTGATTGACATACCAAACTGTTCAAACTCAATACTTAACAATGCCACTATTTATTTTTTATAATTGAAGTGCTTGGGGCATAACCAGACATGTCCATTTTTTTCAAAACGTTTTTGAATCACACTTCAAAACAAAACATGACATGTCATTTATAGTAATCACCCATTTGAAAATATATAAATATTTTGTTGTTTTATTTAACTTGTCATCCAATACAGGTTTTCTACCGAAAATATTTCTATTTACCAACCTATTTTTTGTTTTAAACAAAACAAAATCTACCGTATTTTAATAATAAAAATTGATTTATTAATAAATTGGTTATTGCATGAATGCTTGCAACATAAATCACTTTTATTTTATTTAGTATGACAGTTCTGGCATTGATTGTAAATACTAGTATTTATAATAATCGCAGTGATTCTGGCCATTGTGTTTAATTTGTTAATTATTGCTTGCAACATAAATCACTTTTATTTTATTTGCTATGACAGTTCTAGCATTGATTGTAAATACTAGTATATATAATAATCAGTGATTCTGGCCTTGAATTAATTTTTTTAATTATTCGCAAAAGTAGGTAAGCAGAAGACTGAAAGTATGTTTTTAAAACTCTATTCTATATTAATTCTTGTCTAATTTTGTATTGCGTAAAATGTCAGGTATCTAGGTATATACAAAATAAGATATTAGGTACCGAACGATCAAAATACATTTCAAAAAATTATTCTCTTAAACTAATATGGAAATGTTTAGATTTTAAACGTTATTGGAACACTGTAAGTAATGCAAAACGATTTAGCACGAATACACAAAAACGCGTAGAATTTTATTGGTGGTATATTCCTTTTTTTTAGATTTGTTCCTTCATTATCGCCTACCCTAGTCAGTACTGTATTTATCTTAATATAATACAAATGATAGTCAACTTGTTAACATTTCATAATCAACAAATATACTATAATAATTGCAGCTCGTTCAATACATACTGATTCCAGTAGGAAAATTTCAAGCTAGTGTTGTTGACGATAATGGACGTCGGTAGGATTCTATCTAAATCTTCATTTGCCGTCTCTTCGATGGCATTTCCCGTGTTTTCGACCGCATTTTCCGTATTTTTTAAGACATTTCCAACTGTGCCAATGATTTGAGCTATAAGAACACAAACAGGGTTGATGCAAATCGTTCATTTCGATTAGGCGACGTCCTAAGAAGTGAACCGTAAGTCGTTGCAAAAAAAAAAAAAAAATGAATCGCTTTCTTCTACATCTGACAGTGCAAGATCAAACATAAGAGTGTACGATCTGGTCGAGCAACTAACGCACTTATTTCACAGCAATAGGTACATTGTGCATAGCGATTAGCGTGTAATGTATTTTATTTATAATATAATTAATTAATGGATTTTTTCATTTTGTGCGATTGGCGTTTCCTTGATTAAATAGTGCCGGTCGGTTGACAGCTGTGGTACAACTATTAAAATTAACTTGCAGGTAAAAAAAACAAACTGACCGTCGCTTAGGTGAAATGTGACCAGGACTAACGCTATGGCTACGATCATCTTAGTGGGAAACTTGCCCTCAGAGTGCAAAACGATGTAAGCACCTCATCCACGACCGACGGCCACTGTAATATAGTCATGGGTTCGAATATTACCGACTTAGCCGATAATTACATTAAAAAAAAAAAAAAAAAATACTACGGTCTAGGATATATTAGTTTTATTTGCCGTCATTTGTTTGTTAATCTGTTCGATTTACAAATAGTTTTGTGGAACAATATAGACACCTATCTATAGTCTACATTAAACAAACAAAAATTACGACTGGGAGAAATCAAACACTGACCTGTTTTGTTGACTTATCGTCCGCCGACAGAAAATGAAGGTACACGAGAGGCCTAAATAAAGGATTACACTGGTGCATGTAATTAACATGCTTGTGTACTTAAATTAATGACTACCTTTACACGTTGTAATTGCATTTGAGTGTACATCTCCATTGCGTTATTACTATAACGTTTCCCTATCAAGTGCAATCGGCTAATATTGACTGCCTATTTATACGACAAACACAACACATACAACAAAGTACCCAAGTAACTCCCCTTTATCGCCATTTGGCGTGTGTCTAACGACGACAACGCTCTCCCACACTATGCCAGGTCCATTAATTCATTCCAAAACCCCGTCCATAGTTGTGTATAGGTACACATTATCTACCTACTTATTTAAAAGTAATCTTTACCATTAACAGCTATTAAAGTTTTATATGGTATACATTTACATATTAATGATGTCAAGGTATCTAACCCTTTTTCTCTTTTGGCTTTCGATACGGTTAAATAATAATATTATTTAATTTTTATCGGGTTCGGTAAAACAAGACTCCAAATACAAACATATTTTGATTTAAACAAACCTCTAAATAGTTTAATAATAAAAAAAATATAGTTTTATATTCTCTTGCTCTTAGATTCTATTCTAAAATGCTACCTGGCTAGGCTAGAGAAGTGTTATAAAGTCAAAGATGGTTTTGGTAACTTAAACACCTGTATACGCCTGCTTAACTAAACGTCAGTCACTTGGTATAATTATGACAGGCTTGCTACAAACACCGAATGACTTTTATTTGCACATTATTATAGAGTGTCAATAAAATTTTATAGTGGATTGACAGCTGATAAACCAATCATATATATATATTTGCCACATGAATAAATAAATAAACTGCTTATAAACGATTGCTTAGTAAGGTCATTGAAAGTGGTGGCCGTTTTTAAGGAGCTCTATATGGGCATTATTTTAGAAAATTGTAGTTTTAATCAATTTCATCGTTTCAATTTATTTTCAAGTTAATTTGTGTAAACTTTAGAGAATAATTTTACTGGCATATAAAACATTTTTTATGAGTAAAAGGCATTTTTATGGTAAAAACTGTTTTTGCTGTGATAAAACTGTAGGACTTTGGCGGTCAAATTTTAATTGTTGTACAAAGATAAGAATTTGCTGGCCCTGTTACTGATTAATGTTGGAAACCGATTATCCTTTTAACAATTTAGTGTTTGTAATAAAAATTATTTTTTGAAGTATAAATATATTATAATTTGACAAATTTTCACCATCAAAGCGACATTTTACAACAAAAAAATTTTAAAATCCGTTCCCAACATAATATACTAAAGTAGACAAAGAACTCGATCTTTACAGAATTGAAATAGGACCAACCTATTTCGTTCTCAAAATTGAAATCGGTATTTCTTGTAGGTACTATGTTCGAAGTAGAAACATTTATGGTTTTGTAACACAGAGCTTCTATCTAGTATACAAAAAAGCTTGGTTTAAAAACGAATCAAATCACAAAATTTAACAGCTGTAATTACAATTTTTAAATAAAAACCATAGTACCTTAAACAAATGATGACTCCTCAATCCACTTTACTATACAATATAGAAAAAAATGTACACTAATATTATAATGTGAAAACAAGATTCTGACAAAAATTGCCTATCCCAACACTTTAATACATACTTAGTGCTTGTTGCTTGATATAGTTTAATAGTGCAATAATTGAAGCATAATATTAAACAATATTATAGTATAACTGATTAATATTAATACTACAATACTCATAATTTTATAAAATTTTAACCTGTTACATAATGGAAATTAAAAAAAAAAAAAGGATTTTAAGCGTTTTTACCTGTTGAATTCAGAAGGAGTTCTGAAAAAATATTATTATGTGAATTTTGATTTTCATTAATGTATAAAAATTGTATGATAATTACTTTTATTTTAAAGAAACGGTAACTTTATTTAATTATTTTATAATAAAACTTTATTTTGTGTGTATTAATAGTACAGCGTAAATACTATATTACAATTTTTAGAACTAATTGTTTTATACAACATTAAAAGGAACAAATGTTTTGATAACCATATTATACTGAATTGAGGACTATTCAAAATCATTAATGCTACATGTCATACAACAATTAAACATTTAAATAACATATAAATTATAATTTAAGTGAGAACTTTATTACGTGTTATCGTTCAATTCCAAAATAGATTCGTTAAAACTAATAGAATTTAAGGATGTAAAAGATGTGTTCACATTCAACAGATCGTCCAAGTTGTTATCACTACTGTTTTGCAGGTCAACATTTAAATCCTAAATAAAAAACAAAAAAAACAACTTAAAATATGTATTAAATTTACATAATTTTTGATTAAACACTTATACTTTTATTTGATTATCAGTTAAAAATAAATCCTGAGTTTTATTTTGCTCATCTAGAATTTCATTGTTGATAATTGTAGCACTAACGTAATCAACATCTGAGCTGTCTTTGCAAAATTTAGTGGTGAGTTCCCACACAGTTGAATATTTATCTCTTGTATGTATCTGAAACAATATTTTAATTAACTTATAGATGAAGATTAAATATTGTAACAAAACAAAATCTATTAAGTTAATTTAATTGTTAAATTTTCATTAAAACTATAGTATATACATACATATATATTTCATTTAACTAACTCATTCTTTAATTTAATATTTTACAATATCGGGAATGTTACAAATAAAAAATTTACCTTTTTGTGTTTATTGAAGTTAGTGACTGTTGCAAATTCTTTGTTACACATGTTACAAAAATAAGGTTTCTCCCCTGAAAGAGTCACAATTAAATAAATGTGTTTATTCAGTAATAAAACATTTTCATACAATTGTATATCAATCAATACTTATTATTAGGTATAAATGTATACCTGTATGTATACGAGAATGTCTAACGAGCGCTGTTCGGTCAAAGAAACTTTTCGGACAATATTCACAACTATACTGTCGATCATTGAAATGACGCCTTAAATGGAGTTTTAAAGTATTAGTGTGTGGGAACGATCTCTCACACACAGTACATTTGTATGGTTTATCGCCACTATGACATCTCAAATGGGTTTTTAACTGAAAATTATTGAAACCGATTAAAATGTTTTCATACAAGCATAGTTTAAATGAATAAAAACCTGAGATGATGTTCTGAATGAAACTGAACAGTGTGTACATTTAAACGGTTTCTCTCCAGTATGAATACGCATGTGTTCTTGTAAATTACCATTTTGAAAATACTTTTTTTTACATACATCGCATTCATACTTTTTATCGCCTATATGTAAAATTAAGATAAATCACTACTTTTTTTTAAAAATGTGTACATAGCTTATAATTGCATAGACATGGATTATATCAAAGCTCGTAAAACAACACATTAAATGCCTAGCGAAAAACAACTGTTCAACTTTTTGTTTGTCCAATATGAAGTGTTTTTTGTTGGCTTCAAATTGCTTTGTGAGGTTTAGAAATGGAGCATCTATACATAGATATTAAGTAAAAATAAATAAAACCAGATTTCAATTGAATTACATTGTCTTACGCTCTAACAATTCTATTATAAAAGAAGTGTTGTTTTACCTTGATGCATTTTTAAATGTGTATTCAATCCTTTTTTATGAGCAAATGTTTTTTTACATTGTTCACATTCAAATCTCCCTGCAGTAACTTCTTGATCCTGTGCTTGAACTACTGTTAAAAACCGAAAAAAAAACTAATATTTTATTAAACATTTAATATAAATACTCAATAATAAAATAAAATAAAGAATGCAATAAACTTTTAAAAACAGTAATCTGTTATATCTTTTTCTTGTGTCAATACAGTCATCCTTTTGATAACTTATTTGTCACATTTCACCTAACTAACCATTGAATTCTACACTTTGTTTACACCATAGTCCACAATGTACTTATCATACTTGTCAAAACATTTATATGTTGAAACAATATTACTTTTAATGAAGAAAAAAAACTTTATACTTAAATTACCATGTTTTTTTAAATGAATCCTTAGTTCGTTCTTATGTGCCAATTGTAATCCACATACTTCACATACAAATATGTTCATATCCTTAGTATTCTGATGAATTGTGTAACTTATTCCTTCATCAATATTATCTGTATAATCAGCAGACAACGATGATTGTTTAATCTTATACATCTGGTATAAGTTTTGAAGAAACTGTTGGCCATCAGACAGGTCATTAATAAACTTAACAAGCATATCCAATTGGCATTTACAATTGATACATATTTTCTTTGGATATATATCATCGTCTGACACCTAACATTGAAAAAAGTGAAAAGTGTGTAAATTTATACTAGGTATCAAGTAAGTGCGAATTTGATACTTACTTGAATAGGTAAATAGCGGTTAATTAAATCAGCAATAGTTGGATCTGCTAAATCATCTTTTTCATAAATCATGAATCCCGATGTATTGCTTAGACCACATAGACGACAAAAATCCGATTCACACAACGAAAAAATAAGAGTATCCTCTTTTTCCATTTGATAAAAAATGTCTATCTTAAAAAACAAATTTGAAAATATGTTTAGATTAGGTATAGTATGGAAACTTTATTATTTTTTATTTTTAACAAAAATTATTTATTGGTTATCACTCATCATTATCAAAAATCGGTTGATTTTTTTTTTATCACTTATCAGTTTGGTATCTTATCCGCAGAATATCCAGAAGGGAAGCTTGAAAAAATTACCTACAGGGGTTCTAATGAACCGCTGTAAAGACCGACTGCCATATTGAGGATTAGATTTAGTCTATTCTGTGGCCATACTATTATAGATGGACTGGTAATTCCAGGAAAAATTGGGGTAAATGTACGTAATCCGAGAAAACAAAATGTCGGCCCATATCAGTCCCGGCATAAGTTTCCCTTCTGGTTATTCTGTGTCTTATCTACGTTTAAGATCAACAGTATTGACAACACAGATATGGGTATATTTATATTATAATTTATAATATATTAATATTATATTAGTATGATTACTATATTTAGTTACTTAGTATACAATTTGCAACTTAATGTACACTAAGTTATTCATGTAGGTAAATAATGGAAAAAAAAGTAAAAAAAAAAAATCGATGTTGTTTTGTTTGTTTGACGTCGACTTCGAAAGAATCGATTACTTTGCATGGGTAAGTTAGTTATTTAGTTTGCTTATATATAATTCGGGTTTTTAAATATACACTATTAGATAGTGACTATATAATATATTTTCACTGTTTTATTTCCATTAACTTTTTAAATGTGTTCCTTTAAAAAAAAATATGTATACCCATTTATAAAATATTTAATATATTTAATAACTTAAAATTATTCACAGGTTTCCTAGTAATGTTTTACTGCGTAGCAAGTGGCTTGAAGCGTTTCATTTAACCGAAGCTGACTATAATCCATCTCGAAAAATTTGTTCAAAGCATTTTGATGTTGACAGTTTTATACAAAATAGTAATAGATTGAAATCTGGAGCTATACCACGTCCTTGTGACGATCTTGTTGAGTAAGACCAATTTATTTGTCTATATTAATTGTAATTTTCTACATTTACTGGAAATATAATATTAATTATTAGAACAATTATCAAAACTACATAACTTATGTATATACTTATAAAGTGTATTAAGAGAACGCCCAATTCAAGTTTTTAGTAAACAAAGTCACATAACATCAGCCTATTTAGTAAATAACGTAGCTCCAAAGCAACAATTTTTGGTATATTACACTATAATACACTATTTGAAAGAAAAAAAAAACTGTGCGTCAGCCACTGTAATAATAATTGTATTTCAGTGTTTTTTTTCATGAAATGTGTGATAAACAGTTAGCAAATGCTATTGAAATAAATAGAATAAATTTAATGTTTTTTTCCTTTTAGTTTGAAATTTGGTATTTTAGAGTTACGCCCATTGCTAACTAGGCTGATGATAAGTAATATACCGTTAGAAAGGTGAAAAGTTCTACATTTTTTTTTTTAGAATTTTTTTTTTAGAATTTTCATTATTTTTAACCTTTTATGCAAATAAATATTACTATACTATGATATATTTGTTAATCTGTAGTGCTTACTTTTTGGAAATATTTTAATGTTTAAATTTGGTTATTTTTCTAAACATTTCAATAATTTTATTGTTAAAAATTGTATATATATTTTGTTTTATTAATATTAGAATGTCTTTCATAGGATACTCATTGATCCTGTCGTCAAGAAAGAAGTGAAGACTGAACAACCTGAATCTATTTATGAATATGATTATATAGGTAAACATTTGTACCTGATTGTGTAATGTTTACTCTTTATAAGTACCCAAAACTAGTATCAAGAAGAGGGTTTCAAAAATATTTTGTTAAAAAAATAAATAAATCTTATTGTAAGAATTACAAGTTTAAAAATATTAATAATTTGTCATTCTGCCTTTTTTTTTTAGATAAATTATTTAAAAAAATTAACTAATTTAAATATCACTTCGTTTAAACAATTTCATACTTTTGTTGTATATTGTGCTATTAAATGATAACCTTCATATTTTCATACATGTATGAAATGAAAATAATATTAAAGTATATTTAATGTAACTAATCTCAATAACTTTTTTAACATAACTTTTTAAGTAAATATATACCAAAACCATTGAAATTCTTTTTCTTCGACAAGGATCATACTATAATACCAGAATAAAATGAGTTTGAAAATTATTAAAGTATCGTTGTATCAACAAATTATTCATAAATATATGAAAAAAAAACATTTTATCTGATTTTTAAACATTTCAGCCATTTTGGCTTAACACTTAAGTATTGCTTGGCTATTATAATTAGAGTATTTTTTAACTATACTTAATTTTTACGCTTAACTGTCGGGAACAGCCTTTTATAGTTTCAACGAATAGATCATACTATTTTTCAATGGTTTTGTTTTCATTTCATATTGTATAATAATTATAAAAACACTTATTAATTTTATGATTTAAAATAAATATTGTCAAAGTTTCTATTAAATTTTAAATGAATGATTATTTTTTAGGAATCCCAATTGACGAGATTACACTGCAAAACCACGATAACACTACAAAGGTTAAAGTGTTGCACACACAGGAACATCTACAATTGGAGGATTCGATAGACACACCAATTATAAATAAAATTTCATCAAAATGCTCAGGCAAGTAGAACTATACAAATGCTAAATATCTAATTAAAACTTTCTGACATTCATTAAAAATAAAGCTTTTATAACATAGCATACTTGTATATTTAACATTCTTATTTTAGTTCTTTATCATGCAAAGTTACTTACTTGGAGTGAGTCGTAAGGACCTTTCCTTAACTTCTCCAAATGTTCCACTATGACCTATTCCTGTCATCGTTCCTTCATCAAATTCTATTCTTTTCATAACATTGCTCTTCTATCCACCGGAAACTCGGTATGTGATTTGGGAATTACCTTTGCCTGTTCACTTTATCTTTTAAAACATATAAAGAAGATAAGAGGAGGATCTTTAGTAAATTTTAAAATCCTTTTATGCTCAACTTGCTCGTCCACCCCGTTGCTAATTCCTCAATCTTCGACACCCTACTTACTGCATGTAATTTTTCTATGTTGTATAAATGTATATTAATTTTTTTTTTCTAAAGAAAAATTGCTATTATATCATTTGTAAATTGTACCTATTATTGTATTTAATAGGCTGTTAACTATAGGCTTGTCCTGTTATTAATTTATAATAAATAAATAATAAGTATTTTTTATTTGTAAAATTATTATTTCAGAAATGACAAAAGCGAAAAGAATTGCCTATGTTGGTGATATTAAACCCACAGATCTGACTACTTTGAGTAAAGCAGTCGAGTACTTTGAAATGGCCAAAAGTACACTTCAGAAGAAAGATAGAAAAATTAAAGTTCTTAACCAACGTGTATTAAGATTGAAAAAACGTTTAAATACCTTGGAAAAAATAGTGAAACAATACAAGACTTCTAATTCTAGTAGAACGTTATTCAAAATAAATAGCAAAGCTCACGTTTTGGATACCTAATATACATTTTGTTTTGTTAGATATAATATTTTTATTATGTTAATTATAAATTTTAGTTATTATTTGTGTAATATGTTTTTATTAAATATTTACTATTATACTGTTAATATTAAATTATTAATGGATATAATGATAATTAACAAAAAATACCATATATTTAGGATGCCTCACATATTGTTCTTATGATTTTTTACATAGACATTAAAACAAAATTAATTAATTTTTAATGGAAAACTAGTTTTACATAATGTCTAATTAAACACTTTGTGGGTATATAAATATTTATTTAACTTTAAAACTTATTATGCCGCCACAACCTTATGTATTGAAATCTCAAAATTAAATGACTAGCAAATAATTACCATCAGATTATCAATTCACAATAGCATTATACATTATAATTTTTAATCACCGATAGTAGTTAAAACGGGTTATAGTATTGGGTACTGATTTATTTTCTATTTACAAATATGTGGACATCGCTGTAAAAAGTTAAAACCCAATGGTTTTTTTATCATAGTTTTTTAATTTTAACTTTTACTTTCGATTGCTACTCTTTAGTCCGTCGAATAAAGCGATGCTGACCTTTAAAAAAACAAAAATAATGCAAGAAAAAATATTGGCTTTTATACATTTATTTGGAGTTCTAACACTTTTTAGCTTAGTTTTCCTGGAAAATCGATTTTTTATCTTTTACATAGACAAATCAGGAAAAAATTACAATTGGAGTATGTTTTTCAAGAGATAAAACGTATAAAGTTAAATTTTTTAGGTAGATAGTTTGAATTTTGAAACAATAACAGTATTTTTGATTGCTCATTATCGGATTAACGTACCCAAATATTTTACGAAATCTAAACTGGTTCATGTTAAGTGAATTCCTGTAATTTGTTCAAACCTAAACGTTCTATATAATAATTACAAACAGATTACATAAGGTGTACAACGCACCTAAGGTTAAATAATATACATTGGCATTTGTTGATTATTGGAAACAAATTTGTTACCTCGATAAATATTTCACATTGTCATTATCGGAAGGTGCTATAAATATTTTAAATGATGACGTCATATAATATTATGTTCAAACATAGTATTATATTATAACAACTCTGCTTCGCGCCAGTAAATGTACGTTCGTCACTAAACCTAACGGAAATGCATAGTTTTTTTAAGTGAAGTACAAGCCTAATTTAAACTACAGTTAAATAATTTCCATTTAAAATTTGTTTGTTTAAAGACTAATAGACGCAAAAAGTAAGTAACTACAGTAAATTTGTAATATTTCTTGAATCGTGAAAAATCATTATAAATTGCCAAAGTAATTGCATCAGACCAACTGCCAGAATTTATTTTTGTTGTCAAAATAATAGTAGAAATACCTGTTATTTAATAATTAAATTAACCGTTTTTAACTTTAATTATAATAATAGTCCTCGCACAATATTATAGTGTGTTGATTTCTAACCACGGTTGAAATATTTAAACCCTAATTCTAATTACTACGGTCTTGTATTATGTAATCGTATTAATTAGGTAGGTTTACATCAATAATAGTAAAGGTATTCTGGAAAAAATGTATAAGTATTTTTAAAATAACTATAACTTGGAAAGAAAATAACTTTTTTTTCATTGTAGGTAAATTGTTGAAATCTCATTCACGCTCTTTATCGGGTAGGTTCTGGATAATTCCTAACATGTTTATTGGCCAATGACCATTGTTCCTTCAAACATGAATTTATTACTATTTTTAACAAATCTTATATCAATTACTAAATTTAAATTAGAATAATAGATCAAATTGAAATTGAAATTGTATTATTATTAAATTGGTAATGCTGTAATTCTCAAACTGGTAATATTTCGTGAGATGTTGGTTACTATTATTATCACTTATCAGTTATCAGTATATCAGTTGATAAACATAATATTTACTTAAGAGAAATATGTGAAGTGATTTAAAGTGATTTACTGGTTTTTGTTAACCGCAGAAACCACTAATTTCTTGTTAAACCAAAATTATCACGACTGATTTTATTTTGATAATGTTACTTATAATAATTATTCAATTTAAATTGAATTCAAATCTATAAGTTCTAAGGCAAAACGATTACTATGTTCATAGTAGTCAATTTTACACCCATGTTTTTTAATTTGTTTATTAGCTAATAGGATAAAATAAAAACATAAATAAAGTTAGTTTTTTTAATAATACATTATAGTTCTTTGAATAATCAAGTACAGTTTATTTTGGTAAGTAGAAAATTTAAGAATATTTTTTACTCTATACAAAATTTAAAGGTTAGGTAGTTGATCAATTTTTAATTTTTTTTCGATAATTTAATTTTTTAGTTTTATGTCACTCGTTGCAAGACTTTATATTGGGTTAGATTATTATAGTTTTATTATTATGTACAATTTTAACTAATAAACTCATAATAAATTTTAACTAATTAATTGTTGTTTAACAGTGAAATACCACAAGTTAAAAATGAACACTTTAATAGCCAACCTAGAAAAATCAGACAAACAATATTTGGTTAAAATTAAAGTGCCCAAACTTTGTTTGTATACAATGCTTAGTGTATTTTGCACTTTCATTTTCTGTATTTTTTGGACGGTATGGTTTAATCTAGAAGATTCGACAGGGACTCATTGCAGAGTGAGTTGATCACTAATTATTTACATATTGTATATATTTTATTGTCTTTTAATTATAATATTACAGGTTAAAAACTATCTACCGTCAATATCAACAGCTATTGGGAAGTATCCTGCTCAACAGTTTTTATGGACTTCGATAATATTTGCTCATTGTCCTTGCAGGATAGCCGTTATTAGTATGTACTATCAGTATTACAGTAAAGTAGTGAAACCGTCGCTCATGTGGTGCGTTTTACTAATATGGGTATTGAGTATTATTGAAATATGTTCATTGGTATCCCTGTCGATATTTACTTCAATAAAATACTTCAGTAAGTTGCAATAAAGTACATACAATTTGTACAGTAACAATATTACACTATTATTTAGACTTTTCGGTTCTGTTTTAGGCATCCACGAAAAAAGTTTTTTTACGTTTATCTGTGCTTCTGAGCTAAATATGTTGATATCTTGTACGCTACTGAAAAAAGGACGATGTCCAAAAATGATAATGACAAAAGTAGAATCAAAATCATTAAAGTACAAAATATACTTGTCAATATTCAACTGTGTGTGTTTTGCATTTGCCGGTTCAGCCTTTGTGCGTCATAATGCTTATTGCGAGCCTGGAGGTAAGACTTAATTGTTAACGGTGAAAATTATGATTGATGTAAGTGAACCAACGATACATACAAATCAATTTTAAATGTCTTTATTTTATGTTTTGACCGATCGAGCTTGCATATTAATGTTTGCATGTTTGTCGACAAAAAAAAAAAAGCCATAAAAAAACACAAAAATCAAAGATATCTGTTTAACTATCTAGACTTGTTCCTGGTATATAATCAGAGCTTTGAAACCAAAACATTAGTTTAACATGAATCAATGTTTTATATCCAAGTGAATATTTCTTACACATTTATAAAAGTTGTTTGTATTTTTTTATAGTGTATACGATATTTGCATTTTTTGAATATTTCATTGCGCTGAGTAATATGGGATATCATATGACTGCTTCGATGGATTTAGCTGATATTTCAATCGTCCTGGATGAAAGTCTGAATATTCACTATCGATGATAATACATTCATCAAATGTCACACACTCTAGTTTTTAGCACAACTTAGTTGTTAAGTAACTTTTTAATGTGATACTGATACCAGAAAACAATGTTAAAAGTCTTTTAGTAAAATTTATATTATTTTCATAAATGGTGCATAAAATGGTTTACAAACAACTATAAATCACTGCCTAACCTTAGTAGTCATAACTCATATGGCATTAAAAAAAATATTTATTTTGTTACAATGTTATTAAAATTTTTTAAACTGTTTATGGCCTAAAACTATTTTAAAACATTCTCGCAGTACTTTTAAATATTGTTTTATACTTCGAGAAGTCACTACTATTATTAAATTTGCTTTTAAGTATAGCATTATTTTTCTCATTATATCATTGTCATCTCAAAAAATAGGTTTTAAGTGAATGTTTAACATTTTAGACGTATATTTTAATATCTGTTAGTGTTTTTCTAGTGCACAACCAAACCAGACCATTATAAAAATAAAGTAATTATTGAAAATACAATTTTTGTAATTAAAGATCAAATAATAAATACAATTTTATTTATTTATGAACAAATTTAAGTAACCAATGAAAAGTAATTTGATAAACTTTCAATTTCAACTCTAAATCATTTTTATTTGAATAAAAAGGAAACAATTATTCAAACTGATTTAAAGTAATAAATTAAATAAAATTGTATTTAAAATAACTTTATTTGATGCTGTAACTGCAAATGTGTTTTGAATAATTAATTTTTTTCAAATCATTTTTCGTTATTTAAGTATAAAAACGTCCATGTTTGTGTACAATTAATAACTATACACTTAATTGTCTATTAAATGTTGTTAAAGATAATTTAAACATTCTTTTAAAATGGGATTTAGTTGTTTAATAACTGAACAGCTCAATTTAAAAAAAATCAACTTTTGTTATATTATAAAATTAAGTCAATCTTTTATTACAAATTAAATATTTATCGTGGGAGTATAAATCTCGAGCTACATGTCTGATATCTATTTATTAATTTTTTCAATTATTATATAAGTTATAATATTTTTTTTTGTATACTAAAATTGCGTGGTAAAACACAATATAACAATGTATATTATATTATACTAATTATTGTGTATGTTACCATGTATTGATAAATGAAATCTAAGTCAAAAATAGCTAAAATTATTTTTGTAAATAAGTACACAAAGTAATAACCGTCAAATTAGAGTTGAATATCTATGGACGAATTAAGTATATTGACTATAGAATTCAGGAATGTACTTTTTACACTATTAATTATTGTTTTTTATGTATAAAAATATATTGTATACTTATAATAATGTTGACTGTTGAATCTCATATTTTACAGATGTTACATACAAATTGCTGTGTATACGGGATTTATTAAAAAAATAAATAAATAATATTATTGCATTATTATGTTTTTAAAAATCTTAAAGTCATCTGTAGTTTCAGGTAACATCTTTACAGATATTACATGTAAACTTTATCATACATATTTTTAGTTGTAAAATATTACAGATTTATCTTTGTAAAGTCTTTAAAAAAAATGTATTGTTGATGTATTTTTTTAGAACAATTGGTTTGTTTCAAAAATAAGCTAAACATTTTTTCTACATTGTTATGTTACTAATTTACTTTAAAAAAAGTTTAAAGGATTAAAAAAAAATTCCATTCTAAGAAATGTACCTACATGAGTATTTAGTGACTTGTTTGAATAGTAATTGTAATTATGCTAATAGAGACAACATGTACATAATTATGTAAAAAGTAGTTTTATTAATTCGTCATTAGAAACAAATAGCCAACATGGCAATGTATTGTTGTCTCAATTTTGAGGTTAACTTTTTAAAATAAGTTTTATTAGTACAACAAATGACTTCTGTTTGTTACATTCATTCGTATTGTAATCGAAAACGACTTCCTTGTTTTGTTACAGTAATCTGCTATGGGTGAAATAGTGCATATGCTTTATCATTGTATAAAGTCGAAACACGTTTTATATTTTAATTATGAATTAATTACCTACAAAGATTGTACATACTTTAATGCCATGCAGTTTTTCTGGGGCAAGTGGGCGAGTATTTAACTGTAATAAAGTTCGATATTGTATTTGTTACTATGTTAGAGTGAAAATCATGAATGTGGAACAAAAAATATGTTTTATGGTACTTATATGGTAGGCTTTGGGTATTTTCGAAAAGCACTGACCAAATTATTTCATATTTCCGGCAAATTGCCGTTGTGGTTCAATATTATTACGGGCATGTTTTTTTCATCAAATACATACAAACTAATGTTTGGATACTCAATCGACGGTTAAATTGTATGGTTTAAGATCCTGTACAGTAATCACGTAGGAAATCATTAGGTTTTTTTTTTTTTAAGAATTTATTTAACAGTTATATAGCCAGAAAAAGATGCGATTATTGTAAGAAGATAAAGTTATTGAATTCTATAAATACCACTCGTTGAGTTCGTACGTTTTTTTTAATACATTTTGTGTTATTAAGATTAAAATTTATTTATGAGAAATTAAATAAGTACAAATTTAAATATGTATTTATATTTGTACTTAAAGAATAATTTCGCTTTGAACGGCATATTTCTTAAGTCAATTTTAATTCTCAGCTACAGTAACGTAAAATCATGTTTCTGGGCTCAGATGACGATAATATTATAACCAAAAATCATATTAATTGAATTTGAAAAATATTCCCATCAGGCCCAAAAACATAAATCGACGCTTAAAATCGCAGGTACGTCTACTTAGACGTTTAACTGCAAAAAAAAACTGTTCAAAAAGCTGAAACAGTATTATTGGTTAATACAATGATGTGTTGTATGTACAGCACAACAAAATCTGTTGGTTTATTACAAAAGATATAATTTCAAAAGAGTGAATGCTTTAAAATAGAATTTTTTTTACGGTAAACAGTTTGATACAGAAACTTTCTCTAACCAAGAGTAACATTATATCTTTTAATAATATACTATCACGTCAAAATGGTACTGAACATCTATCATAAATCATAATAATTTGCAATGGTGTAGGCACTTAATATTGAGTTTGAATTTAATACTATGAATTTGTTTCCAATGAGGAACGATATAAAGTACATTGCGCTTTGGTACGGTGGAAATTTACATAACAGAAATTTGTGGGTTTCTTTATTGTAAAAAATACAATATATTATGGTATCAGACCGCCAGCATATTATTTTATTATAGTAAAATTTCTTCTTCAAAAAATGCATACCTACCCTGAAAAAAATGTGACAACCAAAATTTGATATTGTGAACAAATAACTATAAATCGTATACATAATAGTTTTATTATAAATTATAATTATAAACATTAAACACTTTTTGGATTGTTAGATTAAAATATTCTATATTTAGCTCGAATTTTGGTTTAATCTCAAAAATGGTGATTTTTTTACCATCGAACGTCTTATCTCTATTTTCTTAAGAATAATAAACATTTAACGCCAAAGCAAACATAAATCAAATATTGTTTTTGTAATATATATTTTGTAATGGTCGATACAGTCAGTTCATGTGCAAAGTCTTAGTATAAAACATAATGTGGCAAATACTAAATGAATACCTGTTACCTATATACTTACCAATTTACAGAAGGCAACGGACGAACATTTTTTTCAATTTAACAGTATGATAATCTCTGAAAATGTGTTTTTTCCTTTTCAATTATATTCTTAAACAGCAGGTAACACAGGTTGTGTGACTTGACCCGGTCGTAACGATATTTATTACTATATAAGCATTTTATTTTATTCTTAAATTTAAATAAATGGTTATCCATTTAGTATTCATGAGTCTTCTCTTAGATCCCGGGGAAGAGCTCTTGGATTTGACGCATATATAGGTACTGCATCCTTAGTTTTTCCCGTCAATTTGCCATGGATAGCTCGAACAATTTATATTATTGTGGTTTTCCCGTACTCATCGCACCTGGGTTGCCCTTATACCTTTTTCTGACAGCTAAACCCTTATATTGTGTACACTGTAAAATTAATATATATATATATACATAGAGAGGATACATTTTTTTCAACGTTTCAAATCCGAAGCATCATCCTTCAACGTCAAACGCAAGCCATCGATATCTCTGAAACGTGTCAATATTTATACTGTACGCTTACTTGAGCACAATGCCTGCTGACTATACAAAATAACAGCCAACACTATTTACCATACTGTGGTCATTTAAATCCTGTTAACTCGCTGGGCCAATGCACTGACTTACAAATGAAATCAGTGTGACCACGTCTTCAAGCATACAATTTCATAATAATATCGCGGATTTGATAAAAATAATTTATCTAATCTTTGACAATATAGTCAGTTATCGTTTAAATCTTATGGTAGACAAGGAGTTCGTACAATAATGTTGTAAAAGATCTTCACAATAATCTATACTAATTCACGTGGCTGCACTGATATCCTCACGTGACCGATTAGGGGAGTTATTTTTTTTATTAAATTTACATTGTTTTCGGCCGAGTAAGCTATCAGCTGTTTTCATATATAGTCTGTGGTATACAGGGTTATGGGGAATAGGGTTGATCGTTTGTCTTACGGTGCTACAAAATTTCGGGCGTTGTGTCGACATCTCTAAATCGTTTGCTGCAAGTGGTCGCAAATATAAACGAATAAAAACAAAAAAAAAATTAGAACATTGGCCAAACAAATATTTGATGCACCCAGACCGCTTCGACAGATACCTAACCGTGGAGGCGATGTAGAAACTATTGGCGGGTGGTTGACAGAGGTGAAGTGTACCCATTTTTCTAGAAAACGCTTAGTTGTCTTGAGATAACGGCAGGTGCGAAACCGAGAGCAACAGATTTATGACGTCGTATATTTGTACACAGCCAATGGTGTGTACAACCGGCGTGCGGAATGCTTGGCCTGTTTTATTGAGTGATCAATCCTTTTGCACTCGGCCCCGTTATTCCATTGTGTGTGTGCGGGGAGGTAAATGTCACTTTATCATCCTTATCGGTCTGCCGGGGGGCGATATATGGTTTCCGAGGGTACACACAAAGATGCATATGTGTGTGTGTGTGTGTATATGGAACCCCGAACCGAAAACGGTTAACCTATCTTTTGTGCGGTAAACCCTCTGTATCGGCCGATGGCGATGATTCGGACACGATTAGCTGTAATGTAATAAGTACAAAAGTCTAGCAAAAGAAACACATCTGGCCACTCGACTATAGTAGTCAACGAAATGGTCGAGAAGGGTAATTTTGAAATTTACATTACAAACATCTGTTAAGCCAGCTCTAAAGCAGACAGAATAGAAATTAAAAGATCCCGGAACGAGGAGACTTAAGTCAATACAATAAGTGTCTGAATATTTCCGTGAAATTGATCTCGGTAGCTTTTGATTTTTTAAATTATTTACTTATTTTTAAATACTAGGTATTCAAATATCACACGACGTTGTTACTTTTTACTACTTACTGTGTAAAATAATTAAGGTAAATTTAACTTTAATGGTAACAT